AAAAAAAAAAAAAAAGAATTAGGAAAAAGAAAAAAAATAAATAAAATAAAATGATTTTTAAAAATAAAGAAAAAAAAATAAAAATAAAAAAAAATAAAAAAAAAAGAAATGGAATCGCAGTTCCGCCAAGGTTCATCATTGTTGCAGCATGCAATCCATTCCTTTTCATGGCTGAAGAATATTTCATTGTATGAATAAACCACATTGTAGTTATCCATTCACCAACTGAGGTACCTTTACGTTGTGTCCATATGTTTTGGCCATTATGAATAGCACTGATAGGATCATTCACGTATGATTTTTTGGTATTGGTGCACGTTTCCATTATGTCTTGAGTCTATATGAAGGGACTTCAAACATTTGCTATAAAATTTCTGTGTTCCCTTGGCTCCATTTTTTTCCCTACAAACTTTTTGAAGTCCACTTTTATGTAAGTTTAGAATTACTGGGCCCACTGGAGATCCACATTAAGCTGCTGAATTTTGGGACACCGGCTACACGTATCTGTCAGTTTACTAAAAATCTGTGAATTATATTTCAAGAGGTGAATTGTATGCTCTGATAATTACATATCTATAAAGCTATTATAAATAAATACATATATATGGATAATTGACTCACTGTTCACGAAGACCTTGAAATCTTCTGGCAAATCCAAATATATTCTCGCTTCTCCACCTTGGAAACTTTCTGATTTTCTAAATTTATCTTCAATGTAAATACTTGACAATGCCAGGAATTCATCCTCCTGAGCCTCTAGATCTTCAGATGACATTATTTAAATGTCTACGGGCTAAAGACAGTAAAGAGAGTCACTTAGAAAGAATAGACAACAGACACATGGTAAAAGGTATCAAAGAAAGCTACACCAGCTAATGGTCATTAAATAAGCAAAGGTAGCTTTATTCACGGCTACCACTTAGAGGAAAGGAAAAAAAAAACTAAGACTGAACTTGGCTCTTCCAAGGGAGAAGGCGGGAAGAATTTTCAAGATTAGATTGAACTGAAGGAAAAGTACTGGGGGACATTATTATTGGGCTAAGCAACAGTATGCATTGATCACATGCAATTATATCCTGGCTTTACTATTAATATCAGAAGGTATAGGCTTCTGGGATTCTGTAAAACTCAGAGGGGAGGGGTAGATAAGCAGCCTGGAGTCACACACAGGTCTGCCTAAAATTTGGTCATGCAAAGGTACTCCAAAAAGAAACAAAGACATAAAAGAAAAGAACAAATAGATAGAAAAGAAAAGAAACAAAGGCTACCAAGTGGTAAAAGTAATCCAGTCAAAGCAAAGGGAGGTGAGTCATGGTCACAGTATTTTGGCCATTTGGGGCTTGAGGTACCTTGCTAATGAACTTTCTGGAGAGCAAAAGACTGGTAACATCTGCTTATTATGCAAGTGCTGTGAGAAAGCTAGCCAAACCTCAAAATGCCCTGGAAAATGGTACCATAGAGTCCTTCATGACCATGTTTCTCCTCTTTCCTCTCATCAAAAATGGGGATTTGAAAAAAAGGGGGGGGATATTTGGTGATAATTTATATTGAAAAATATTAGGAATCCACCTTACAGCCCTGATTCCAAATCTTAATTAATCTTTAAATGGCACGTAATTTTTTCAGTTAATAACATAAAAGGTGCATTGACATGGTTATGTTCCCTGAAACCTCAGTTCTTTGGTAATGCACTAAACAGCTGCTTATATCACTTATAAAAATGTCTTAACCCTGGTGGAGATTATGTTGAGAGATGGAGTTTATATTTTTGCATTTTCCTCCATTAAATTAGTTCGTATTTTTATTTTTAATTCCATTTTCCTACAAAATCTTTGATGTTCAACTCACATTCTTCTCTATTGCACATGGAACAGTCTCCAGAGCAGACCATAGTTTAGGCCACAAAACAAACCTCAATGCATTTTAAAAACATTGTTGTAACATAAAACTTATTCTTAGACCACAACACTATACACCAGATACCAACAATAGCAATTTCAAATAATATGAATCAAATATATAGAAACTGAATAACACCCTCTCTAAAAACTGCTGGATAATAGAGCAAAAATTTAAAGATTTAAAAGTTTCTTGAATCAAATGAGAATAAAATTACCAAATACCCCAAATTTGGGACAAAGAGCTAATTTTTGGACGATATATGTACATAGAACCCAAACTCATACTTTAACCCAACAGGTCCAACAATAAGAAAAACAACTGCAAAATAAGCCTGTTAGCATCAGAAGAAAATAAAAACTAGAACAGAAATAAATGAAAGCGAACAGGGGGAAACGACTGAAAGAATCAACAAGATTACAAGTTGATTCTTTAAAAGGACTAATAAAATTTACAAACAAATGGCAACTCTCACAAAAGGAAAGGAGACCATGAAAATAATGTGAATAAGAAATTAAACGGGTGGTTCCATTGCAAAACCATTTGAAATAAAAAGGATATCAGTACACTATGAGGAACTTTGCTCTGACACGTTTGAAAAGCCTAGAAAATATGGAAAGAGTTTTTTGAAACATCTACTTACCTAAAGTAAGAGAAACTTAAGTGGAAATTTTGAGCAGACCTATTACTAAAGAAGACATAGGACACGTCATCCAAAAAATCCCAAGAGAAGACCTGTCACCAATTCGACTCCCATGATCCCACAGTATAGAATAGGACAAAATACTCCAGAAAGCCTTTTCTGAAGGGAGTATAAATCTGACTAGGCAAAGATAGCACACAAAATACAGATAGACCAATATCCCTCATTAACGAAGATGCAAAAATTGCCAACAGAAATTAACTAACAGAATCCAAAATCTTGTCCAAAAAACAACGCATCACATCCAAGTGAGATTTGTACCAAGCAAGACAACCAAGGATGGTTCAACATTAGAAAAATAATCAATATAATCCGCCCCATAAAGAAAATGAGAAAGAATCACATTAACACATTAATTGGTGCAGAAATGTATTTGACAAAGTCCAGCACCCATTCCTAAAGAAAACACTCAAAAACATACGAATAGAAGGGAAATGCCTCGACATAATTAAATGCCTATACATAAAACCAACAGCTAACATTAACCTCAATGACAAGAGACTGCAAGCTCGCTCTCCGTGAATGGGAGTCAGACAGGAAGGCCCTCTAGCACCACTCCTATTCGATAGTGTACTGCCACTCCTAACCTGGGCTATTATAAGGCAGGTAAGGGGAAAAAAATTCTTCCACATAGGTAAGGAAGAAATAAAACTATCTCTACTTGCAGATGATAAGATCCTATACATACAAAATCCCAGTGCCTCAGCCAGAAAGCTACTGGGACTAATATATGGAATTCTGCAAAGTGGAAGAGAGAAGATTAACATACAAAAGTCAGTCAAAATGATGAGAAATACAACCTTCCTCTAGTTCCTAAAGGTTTCCTCCCCGCTCCCACTACCATGACTCGAATTCTATCTTGCAAGACTGGCTAG